GAAGTGATGCTGCTGCTGTTCCAGAACTAAGGTGTAAAATATCCTGTAGAAAACAGGAACTGAATGTGATCCCAATCACAGGGATCTGTTTCTTCCTGATTGCCTGCACGCAGAAGTTGGTTACGGCCTGAAGTCTGAAGGGCTTCAATCCTCCCAAATTCTTCTTTTTCACTCTGGGCAGAAACGCAGCCACCATTCCCTTCGGTTCCTGAAGCTCACTGGCCACATCGATGTCCTGCTGCCAACATCAACTCATGTCCTTCACCCTCTTCCAGGGCGTCCCCTTAAGCCTTTTATCACACCGTGAAAAACAACTGAAAGAAACCATCGAGGTACCAGCTCTGAACTTTTCACACTACAAAACCAGAGCGAGATTTTCAGTGAAAGAGTCTCCCTGAGTCGAAAGCAGCCTTTGGAGGGACTGGCTGCAAATCAATGAGGTTCTCTCTTCAGCCCAGCCTTGCTCACAGCCACTACGAAACCTCACCACTGCACACAAAAAAGCTCCTTGTTCACCATATACCAGGGAACTCATATATCTTTTTTTAACCTTATCCAAAAGAAAATGTCCTGCATGGGATGAATAGATTTTTTCAAGGTTGCTTAAAGGCCCAATTCCAATAAACTTGCTTCAGACGAGCTTTAAAACACTCTGCCCTATTCCTTAAGCAGCTTAGAGAGACAAGCACTACCCAAACTGAATATTGAAGCGGGAATTCAGCCTTTTGCATTTGATGTGGTCTTGTTGAAGGTCCGTCTGATGCTCTTTTTATCCTCTGCCAACTATGGGGGACAATTCAGACCTTATCCACAGACATAAAAATTTTTAATTTCTATGGAAACATCAATTAAAAGTAACAGGACAAGTTTTTCTCCTCCAGTAAGTCCTGCAGTATGTAGTCTTCTACCTCTGCAGGAGGTGTACGTGTAAGGAACTGCCTGCTGAAATAAAGGGTGCCCATTTCATTTGCCTTTTGTGCCATTAAAGGCAATTCATGTCTGGCAACACACGAGCCAATGTAAGTTAGGGATAGTCACACTGACAACGATGAAATAAATATAATTAAGAGCAGTGTCAGCAGTGTCCAGTGCTGCATATTTGAGCTTCTTGGAGCCTCTCTAGAAACATGGATGCTCTGATGGGTCACGTAAACCTCTCTCTCAACTACAGAACATGCAGTGACTCCAGTGTACATCGTACCCACACACTCAACCTTATGTCTTACACTCCCCTTCTTCCCTAGACACCAAAAGAGAAATATTCTACGTTGCAAGCGGGGTGAGGAACCCCTGTGCATACACTGGCCGTGTCCTGAACTCTCTCTTGAGATGGGAGACTGACCCTGCAAAGTACTCGAGGCCACTCAGCTCCTCCACCCACTGTTCTGACTCTTGCAGAGCAAGATCTCTGGTGGGTAGGCTGGTTCTCCAGGTCCTCCATCTCTGAAGGGTGGCCCAAAGGCCGGGGAGAACAAAAGCAGCTTCTCTGCTCAGTTGGCTCTGCCTCTGCTCCACCCCTCGCCCGAGCCTGCCCACTGCCCTGCGGCACTCACATCTATCCCGTCCTTGCCGGATGGTCCAGGGGGTCCTCGTGGTCCAGGAGGGCCTTGTGGTCCTACTCTCTGAAAGGATTGGGGGGAAAAGGAGAGAGAGAACAGTTTATTTTTGCATCAGAAGAAACATAAGGGCTAAATCAAAAAGCAATGGCCAAGTCCTACAGCATAACCCTCTATCTGTACTAACCCTCCATCCCCGAGGTCTCCTGCCACCTTGGATGGGCTCGGAGGAGCTCGGGATGGGTGCAAGGCTCTTTGGAAAACCCTTCTGTCTGAGCACAGGGCTCCCAGTTTGTTTAACTGGTGGCTTACACTGGGAATCAGAGCTGGTTGCTGGGCAGCAAATGGGTTTGATTGCGTAGGAAACGTTTGGGGCAGAGGGGGAAACAAAGCCCACGGAAAATAGGTGCCAAGTGGTTGGCATTAAAAATTAATGTATAGTCCCAGTCTGATGGGGTGGTGGAAAAGCAAGACGGACACCGCTGAAGACAGGAGGAGAAAGGGAAAGCTCCTCTCTGAGCAGGATGCTGTTTGAAAATCTGGGATTTTGGAGGAGGTCTGAGGTGGGGGAAAGGAAAGAAAAGCCCAATAAATGACTTCTGTATGGAGAGGGCTCCAGCGAGCAACTTGCTGTAGCTTCAGTGAACAAAGGTTTCATTGTGGAAGCAGCTCTGCTCGCAGCAGATGAGGGCAGCTCCGAATTCCCAAGCCAGGCTGCAAAAATTCCTCACTAACACAATGAAAAACCTCACCGAGGAGTCACTTCCCCAGGCAATAATATTAACACCGTACTGGGAAGCTTATTATAGCTTCATGTCTGAAGTGAACAAGGGTTAAATGCGCTATTTCATCAATGTAAAATTTGAAAATTGATTGAGGGAAGGAATAAGAAATTCTCTGATTCAGATGAAGACCCAGATCAGATCAGTCTCACTGGCAAGCTATCACTTTGCTGTAAAAGAAAACTGTTTCTCTCCCATCAACAGGTCTCCCCTTCCCCAAGGCTTTCTCTCTCGTAACTGCAGCCCTGAGTGGGAGGACAATACTTCTACACAAAGTTTAAAGCAGCAGTTTCTACACACGAGGATACGCTCCCAAAACCTTCCTATGCAGGTAAAAACCAGCTGTGTTTGCCAGGCACTCCCTGTGTAACAGCACAAGTAATACATATATTTTTAATAAGCTTTAGACTCTAATATAATCTGCCTATTGCCATTTCATCCCACAGGTATAACAACTGCAGTATCTTTTTTGCTTATAGACCTTTTTCTTGAGCATAATATATAAATGAGACTTCTTACCTGAGCCGAGGCTGTGGCTAATAGCCACAGGAACAGAAGCCCAGGAGTGGAGAATCCAGCCATGGTGCCCAGGCTCTGCCTCTCTTCGTCCCTCCTGGGCAGCTAAACCCTTTCTGCTCCAGGATCCAGCAGATCCCTCCCTCCTCCTCCTCCTCTCCTCCAGATAAACCTGTGGCTCCAGCCGGAGGGCAGAGCTCAGGAGCGGAGGCAAAGGGGCTGATCTGGGAGGAGAGGGAGGTTTGGAGGAGGAGGAGGGGGAGCAGAAGGCAGGCAGAAGAGAAGCTCATTCACGTCCCGCTGGGCAGCCCCAGCCCTCAGCAAACAGGGAGGGAGCCCACGGAAGGGTCAGACTCACAGATGCGCTGCAGGAGCAAAATCCAGCTGCTCCAGATACAAAGATGTTCCTCAGGTCTCACCTGGGGCATTTCTCAAAGCCCATCACTGCCCCAGACAGATAAAAAGCATCACAGAGCGAGAGGTACCCAGTGCCCGAGGCTCCCTAACTTCACTAGAGAAACTAATATACCTTTAACGAGTGCAAATGCACTACAGAGAAACGCACTTACTGCTTTGCGAGATGGTTTATTAGCTCTGGAGGTGTATTCACATCTGTCGGGTTTTTTTTCAGGGAGATATAAAGAATGCCAACTAATTTCCTGGGAAAATGATGAATCCTGACCAGGGAATGGATGCTCGCAGACAGAAACAAAGAGGAAGAAAAAAGGAGAAACATTCTCAGAGCCACACACAAAAAAAAAAAAAAAGGGAAGAATTGCCTTTGAACTATTTGCAAGGAAGGAACGGGATGACAGTTCCCATCAAGGTGATCCCAAATGGCAATATATCCATAAAGATACATCTCCTGCAAATAGCTTCATGCTTCCCTTTATCAATTAAAGACAACTTCATCCAAAGCAGGACTTGGAAGCAGAGAGGAACAGTGGGAAGACTCATCAGGAATGGAGCGACACAGCTCATTTGGTTAAGCAAGAGCAGAGGAGAAGTGGAAAAGCAAAGCTTAAAAAATGAAATACCAGGTTTCAGTTTGGCATCCTTCTGCCAGGAGGTTTCTGTGAGGACACAGCGTGTGTCTGCCCAGCTCCCCAGCAGCCAATATTCCACCAGCCTCGACAGAGGGATAAAGGGCTCAAAGATTTACTAAGTTCCCACAAGATCTTGAGGACCAGGCAGCTGGGGAAAGGGAGTGTGTGTCTGTACATCTTCAGATGGCCTCAAAGTAAATCGAATTTTATTAGACACCCCAAACCCCACCGAGGAAGCTGCGCAGTCACAGGAACTGCTCTGCAGAGCTTGTACTTCATCCTCTGCTCTGGGACCAGCTGATGGTGAAAGAGAAGGCAACGCAGATCCAGATTCCTTGGCCACACGTTGTCCACAAGCCGGGGCTCGACGGGCTGCTGGAAGCTCAGCCTGCTTTTGGCCATCAAAGGAAGAGACCAGGAGCATTCAACTTCATGCCCACCCCACAGGACAGAGGAGGAACAGTCCATCATTACTTCTATGTCCCCAGGCAGAAGGGGAACAGCTGAAGGGACACAGCCACGTATGGGATCATCACCACCAACACAACCTTGTGCTTGTGTCCTGGAGAAAAAGGTCCATTTAAGTCCCCATATGCAGGAGAGCCCCAAGAGCTGCTCAAAAGCAACGTCCTCGTTAGCTCCACAGAGCATCTCCATGCCCGCTTGGGAGGACGGCAGCACCAAGCCAAGATGTGGCACGGAATCATAGAACGGTTTGGGTCGGAAAGGACCTTAAATATTATCCAGTTCCAACCCTCCCTAGGGTATTCCAACCCTCGGGACACCTCCCACTAGACCAGGTTGCTCAAAGCCCCATCCAGCCTGGTGAAACATCATTAACCAAGAAGCAGTGGGGAGTGTCTTTTCCCCACAAACATTCACTGGCCACTTTTTACAGCGGTGGAGTAAGACTGAGCATCATCTCCACATGGACCAAGCAGCAGAGGTTTAGCTCATGGTGAGTCCCCCAGACCTCTGCTGGGGGATGGACCCGTTCATTGGAGGTGCCCAAGCAACAGCAGATGCGTGGTGGTGGTGGGGCAGATGTATGGTCAACATCCTGCCCTCAAAGATGGAAAAAACAAAAGTGGAAACTGGGATGCATTAAAGTCATGCTTTAATAGGTGACATTAATGGAACAGACTCTGATACAGCTCATTGCTGGAAAACATCTTGTGAACTCACTGCAAACACCCACAGCCCAAACTCTGAACCTGACCACGCCAGGGAAGGGTTTGGGTTGAGTTCTCCCAACCAGGGCTCACCATGAAATCCCATTTAACACAAAAACAAACCACATCTCACTGTAACAAGATATATGATCTATGCCCCAACTGAGCACATATTCACAATGAAAACTTCATTAAATAAGAAAATTACTATAAATCTGTACAAAAGCCACAATTAACAATTTCTTATGAATCTTTTATGAAAGAATTTTCTCTTGACAACTTCAAGTATTTATACCTGTAATTAAGTGTATTCTTATTGGCAACTTAATTCCACTCGTTCATAAGAAAGAAAAAGAAAAGAAGTATTTTAAAAACCCCAAAAGCCTTTTCCAGCATGTGTGTGACCGTTAGATGTTAAAGCCTGCAGACTTTTATTTCCACACACGCGTACGCAGCACGCTGGATCAGGACCTAGGATCTGGGAAGGCAAGTCACCCATCAAATTCTTTGAAAGATGAAGCTTTTTAAGAGCTGGAGGAGAGAGGAAAGACATTGACATTGCACAGGCTGCTGCCTCTGGTCGCTGGCAAAGAGGGGGAGCCTCTAGCCATCTCCTACACCAAACAAACAGCACCTAAACCCAACTCCCCCCAAAACTATAACAAACTAACTGAGCAAATGGCAAATCCAGACCTTCTGGCTGTTGGCAAGGGGTTTCCTCCGCTTCATGAAACGGGTCCTCTGTTGTAAACCTCTAGGAGCCAAAGTGCTAAATTGTTTAATGCTCCTTCAGACTTGGTTGAACACTGTGTGAGTCGGGCAGAACAACTAACGGAGGGTCAGCAACTCTAAGGCAGGCAAATAGCTGGCAAGGTCTGAAAGTAAATTCTTGAGGGCCGTAAATAAACGAACCAGACAAGCATACCCCCTCCAATTAAAGTCTCAATTAACCGCCCCACAAAGCCCAGTGGTTTCCAGACATGTTGCACTCGAACGTGCCCTCACTGTCTGACACACTGGTGGTTAATGGTCAAACAACCCTGCCCTAACTAGGAAGTGGGTTAAATTTGACACGTCTAACTCGATGCCACAGGCCTGCAGAAACCCCACAGGCCAAGTCTGAAAAAAACAAATACTCGTTTCTATTTTGGCAATTAAGGACAGAAGGCCTTTGAACCAGTAGTAGATAAATACCTGTGGAAGACTATCAAGGGTCAGAAAGTGGTGGGAAAACCTGGGGAAGAAGAGCTTGAGACAGCTTCAGGCAAAGTCTGAGGGTTTTTCCTCTTAGAAACCAACAGATAATTCACATTCTCGATTCTAACAAGTGCTACAAAGGAATTCCTGCCAGGGATAAAGGGAACAAGTCACTCGGCACTTTCTACCCCAGAGAACAGCATCTGTACACAAAGGGTAACACTGGGCAGAGAAAGGCTCTGACTACGCATTTTATCCCAGTCTGAAGTCAAACCTACTTTCTTTATGGAAGGAGAGGCAACTACACTCTGACATGATGGGAAATACTCAAATGCCACAAAAATAATGATTTATGCCCTAGGAAGCAGACACACAGCATCGTTGCCAGGAATAAATCTCCTGGGAAGGTACAGCCTTTCAAAATAACAAATAGAAGTTAGAAGGTAAAAGAAAGGCCTGGCAAATTAGGTCATGCTGTCTTACATTGAAAATCATGTATTTAATAAATACTTGACTAGTTCAAACAAGGAAAAAGACTAGTTTTCCTCTTCTCTTTAAGAAGAGACACACCAGAACCAAAGCGAAGTGCAAAAATCCCTGTTACTCCAAGATAATCCTGAACATCAGATAAAAAAAACAGGAACAGGACAGCCTGCCCGTGAAGATGACTCAAAGTTTTTCTCTTTAGGGTAACCAAGGGCTGGATCTCAATGAAGTTACAACAGATGATTAAAAAAGCATGGAATGGTGGAAGTCAGACAGGGACTAGCCTGGATCAGCCCAGAGGAAGTTCATTCTTCAGGGTAGTTCTGCCACCCAAAGCACTAAAGCTGGTTCCCAGCAGGTAGGACAGTGTCACCTCCACTTGCCCAAGCGCTGGCCGTGCCGCTCTCACTCTGCTGCTGCCTGCTCTTCACCAGGTTCTGCTGCACGCTCAGAGCTGTTGGGTTTTTGTGTTGCAACCTCAACACTGTCTTCTTCACGACAAGCAGACGCCATGCTCTGCTCAAGGCTCTCTGGAACTTGTTTCTTGCCCTCGACTTCTGCTTGCTCTTTTTCACTTGCATTTTCTGCCTTTTTATGCTCTTCTACCCCATCTGTCTCACCTCTGCCTCCCAGGAGCGTGCTGTTGCAGCCGTGCTGCTCACTCCTTGCTGTGTCTTGATCTCCACTCAACTCCAAGCCATCACTTACTGGAGAAGTCTGGCCCGTCTTGGGGATCCTGGGGCCAGCTGGGGCTTCCACACCATTTGCGTCACCACCTCCCTTCTCACTGGTGGCTTCCACAGTTGCATTTTTCTCACTGACATTTTCTTTTTCAGCCTCAGCGTTTGCAAGAGGTGGATTTAACTTGGCACTAGAGGCAGAGGGCCCCATGTCCAGGTTTATGGCCAAGTTGAATGTTTTGGTTCTTGATGTTCTTTTATCAACTTTCCTCCGTTTTACAGCTGCGTCGGCGGTCTCCGGCGCCGCCGAGTCTTTGGTGTTTGCATCGTCTTCCCTCAGTGCTCCCTCCTCCTCTTCTGCTTGTAGGAGAGGAACTGAGGAGGGGATTTCTGCATCAATCGCACATTCTCCCAGATTACGGGAAATGTTTTCAATATCACTCGGGCTTTTCAAGGATCCACTCTTTTTAGCATCTGACATATTTGCATCCAGTTTCCTCTTCTTGCTCTCCTTCGTGCAGTCGTTCTCTGCCACACCCTGCACTTCTCCAGTCTCACTGGTTAAATCCTTCTCCTCCTCCTGGGTAAGTGAAGCCTCTTTCTCTTCATCACCATCCCCTCCCTTCGAAGCGCATTCACTTAACTTCTCTTTTACATCTTCATCCCTCACTTGAGGCTGCGAGTCTGCAGCATCTCCAGCTTCCTGTTCTTCTAGAGACTGGTTCTCATGCTTTTCCAAAGGATCACCACATTTTTTACCTTCCTTTGAAGCACATTCACTTAACTTCTCTTCTACATCTTCATCATTCACTTCAGGCTGCGAGTCTGCAGCATCTCCAGCTTTTTGCTCTTCTAGAGACTGGTTCTCATCCTTTTCCATAGAATTATCACATTTTTTATCTTCCTTTGAAACGCATTCACTTAACTTATCTTCTACATCTTCATCATTCACTTTAGGCTGTGTGTCTGCAGCCTCTCCAGCTTTTTGTTCTTCTAGAGACTGGTTCTCATCCTTTTCGAGTCTGCAGCATCTCCAGCTTTTTGCTCTTCTAGAGACTGGTTCTCATCCTTTTCCATAGAATTATCACATTTTTTATCTTCCTTTGAAACGCATTCACTTAACTTATCTTCTACATCTTCATCATTCACTTCAGGCTGCGAGTCTGCAGCATCTCCAGCTTTTTGCTCTTCTAGAGACTGGTTCTCATCCTTTTCCACAGAATCATCACTTTTTTTACCAGGAGCTTGCTGTTTATCTTCAGCCTTTTGGTGCAGCTGTGACTTGGTGGAGCGGGGTCTGTACTTGAGGAGTTTGTCTTGTGGCCCCCAGGCGAAGCTGCCCCGGGGTTTGAAGTGTTGCCAGGCGTAGTGGACCAGTTCCCTTCTCTTCCGTTTGCTTCTGATGGTGAACAGGAAGTAATCCAAGGCACTTCTCTTGACATTTGGTAACGTCTCCGTAACGAGGGTTTCTGTTAGGAAAAACTTCACCAAGTGCACTTGATAGTGTTCGTACCCCATCTCCCCCAGGCACTTCAGGATTCGCGTAATCCGCAAATTGTTGTGGCTATACCTGAAAGGAAGAGATAAGCAGAGTCCCTAAGTGAAAGTCCTACCTGAAGTCACAACGAAACCCCCCCCCAGGGTACCTGCAAAATGTTCTGTGAATTACTGACTGTGATCTATTAAAGACTATTTGAGATTCAGACGGGAGGGCGGGCGGGATTAGTGCTGCTCTCTGCCTTCAGCAGCACCTCCCCAGCCCCTCTTGGGCTGCTAGGATTAATCACCTCTGCTAGAGCAAATATTAACATCTCCAAGTCTCTATTTCCTACTCCAGGAGCCCAAGGTGCAGAATGCCTGCTGTTTACAGCTGCACCACATACAGAAGGAAACCAGTCTCAGCTGGTTTGTCTGCTTATTATACTTGTCACTTTATTAAGTGACAGAGAGCGTGATGACCTACAGTCAGAGGCTAAAAATACTTTGGGTAACCAACTCTTTTATCAACAAAAGCCTCTGTTCCTCAAGGGCTGAGGATTTGCTTGACTTTTTTTTTCACTTCTCACAGAAGTGCCTGGCTGTAGTAAGTGACCAGCAAAATAAACACTCACCGGTTCAAGTTTTGAAATCGTTCAGCCCAATTCTCTGCTCTCTTAAGTTCTCCAGTTTCCTCGTTGATGAGAATGATTCCATAAAACCTCAGCATGAGCTGATAAGCTCGTATAAACCTTCCCATAACTTCCTTGGATTTCTTAAAGGCCTGAAAACAAGACAGACCAATGAGTACAAGGTGCAACTCCCTAATTATCCACACCAGTTTAAGTCACACCTGAATTATAAACAAGGCTTGATTATATCACTAAACATTTCATCTGCTGGTGTAGCTACTGGCAGACACAAGACAGAAAAAATGCTTAACAGTGCTTGAGGGAGCTCTGTTCACATCAAGGCCCCAAGGAAGCAATGTAAAAAACTCTAGATTTCAGATATAAGGCATTTATGGAAAATGCTAACATCCTTCAGGTCTCAAAAGAAGAAGAAGAAAAAAAAAAAGACAACAAAAACTCCCAATACCTGGATTTCTTGACACGTGAGTGGTCTGGCACGCAAGTTCATCCCATGTTCACGTAAAGGGAATAGCCTGAAGGGAAAGAAATTTTAGCTCAGATGAGCAAGGATGACACCCCACCCAGGGTACCCATTTCATTAAAACTAAAAAAGATTCCAAAACCTGTGATATCACAGGCATCTCTTGGAGACCTCACATGGACACATAGTTTACTGGATGACAAATAAATCCCTCCCATAAAAGCATCACCTACACCAATGATCACAGCATACTTTGCTCATCTGGATCTCCCTCCTTGCCCTAACGCTTGGTTCTGCACTGGCTGTAAGACCAAGCATGACTGAGATCTATTGCTGCAATGGAAACACAACTCTTCAGGATTTCCACAGCATTGTTTCCAGAAAACTACAACTTAATAAAAATAAAGTGGACACAAGTTTCACTTATAAGTAATTCTGGGCCTTTTGGGAAGCTGAATTCACTAGACAGATACTTTACCACTGTATGTAAGAATGGTTTTCTTCCAGAACTTCATAGTTGTCCCACCACAATTCAAGCAGATCGTCAATGTGCAAACCTGAAAAGAAAAGGAAAGAGTCAGGCAAGAAGAAATGACACCAAATGAAAATTAAATTTAGCCAGTCACCCAAGGTGGCTCATTACCCAGAGCCAGGTGCTGGCACACAGGCATCAGCTTCTCTAATTAGACAACCACTCTTGTAAGCCAGAAAAAAACCCTTAGTTTTCTACCACCAAACAAAAATTTAGGAACATACAGCAGCAATGAGGACATTTAAAATGGAAATTCTTGGTGGTTTTTATGTTTTGGGTTGGTTTTTTCCCCCCTTTCTTTGTTGTTTTGTTTGTTTGGTGGTTTGGTTTTTTTTTACTAATTGTCCCACATGGATGAAGCTACTCTTTCACCAATTCAACCACCAGCAGAAGAGTTGCATCAAACAAGGTACTCACCCTGAGGCAAAAAACAAATCTCATTTTTATAAAAGCTCAAGTTCCACATCTCTTCTTCCTCTTCAGTTTCTGATTGTATCAACCCCTGGAGATGAGAACAAGCAATCAACATGCAGCACTCTTTTAAAAGGCAGCATTTACTTCAACACTTCTTTCTCCTTGCTTTCCCTCAAGTTTCCTAAACATTTCAAGCTAAATCCTTGAAGGGTGTTTTGGGAAGGAACAGCTTGTTTCTGATAATGCATTATCATCCCTTCCCCCTGACTAATCACTCTCTTACAGGTCCTGAGCCCGTGTCGTGGTTTAGCCCCAGCCAGGAGCGAGGACCACTCACTCTCCCCCCAGGCTGGGGTAGGGGAAAGAACTGGAAAAGTAAGAGTGAGAAAAAACTTGCGGGTTAAGATAAAGACAGTTTAATATGTAGGGCAAAAGCCATACACACAAGCAAAGCAAAACAAGGAATTCATTCCCTGGTTTCCATGGCAGGCAGGTTGGGCTCCATCATGCATCACGGTGACTTGGGAAGACAAATGCCATCACTCCCAATATCCCCCCCCTTCCTCCCTCCCCCAGCTCTATACACTGAGCACCATGTCATATGGCATGGAATGTCCCTGTGGTCAGTCAGGGTCACCCCTCTCCTGGCCATATCCCCTCTCAGCTCCTCATGCCCCCCCAGCCCATGGCTGGCAGGGGGGTGAGGAGCAGAAAAGACCTTGAGAGCTCAGCAACAATGAAAAACACCAGGGCGCTATCATCAGCATTTCTCATCCCAAACTCAAAACACAGCACTGTGCCAGCTCCTAATAAAAAGCCTTCACTCTACCCTAACTGAAACCACAGTAGCCTGAAAACGGAAAGACAAAAGGGTGCCCTCGAATGGAGAAGGTGTTCCTAAACTTAGCATGGGATGAGGAAGAGCCAGGAGAGCCCGCGCATCGTCGTTCGGTGCGTACCGGGTACCGGTGTCTGTACCGCTGCAGGTCCCGCGCCGCGGTCCAGTTGCGCCTGCCTGAGAACTAGAGAAGAGACAGATCAGAGATCCTCAATAAAATTAGATTTTGTACCATCTCATTGTAACAAAGTCATCCATTCAGCTGTCCTGGTGATTGTTCATACTTAAAATTTATGAATCTTGCACAGCACTTCGGAGATGAAACTTCTATCCATAGAGGGAAGTCATCAACGCAGGATTTTTAAAGTTACCTTTGAAATATGCATTTACACGCTAGGATTCCCCCACACTTTGGTGACAGGAATTAAATAAAGCTCGAGTTGTTTTTTAAATGCAATTACTTGTGATGACCTAAAATAATGCCTGTCTACATTGCAGCAGATTGCCATTTTATACATGGCAACACAGACCAAAATAGGCAGCAGAACTTCCCACAGCCACGTGGCCCACACAGGACTGGCAAACCCAACGCCGGTGTCCATCCCCAGAACACAGCCAGGCTGCAGGAACGCACACAGCCATGAAAAGCTTTGCTACACAGTTAACATTTGGGGAAAAAAATAATAGAGAGTGGCTGCAAACACAACATTATGTTCAGCCAGAACAGATCGATATTGTTCTTTTGTTCAGGATGTTCGCAGAGACTGAGATTGAGCACTTGAAATTCATTGATGCTTTTGACTATAATTTTTGAACTACAAGGATAAAATTCTAATACACATGGAAATGGCGAAAATTATGCTCCCAATTACAGAAAAATCAATTTCCAGGCATTCTTTACACTTGAGGTTTTAAAATCACTTCCTTTAACTCAGGCAGGTGGGACAGGCTAACAGCAAACTGGGTCCAGTTTTGGAAAAGAACTGGTCTGCTGCAGAGTAAGGCTAGATAGAGAGAGAGGCAATGCCACAGTGCCAGGGGCTGTAAGGCTGGTGTCAAGAGAAGCTGGATGCAGGAGAAAGACATTCTGAAGCACGTTGGAAAGAGAACAAGACAGGGAAGCAAAGAGAGCAAAACTCAGCCCTCCCTCCAAGCAGGTTTTGTTCCTGGGTCTCTATAAACTTCTATTCAAGCAGCAGAGAAACAGAACCTTCCCTTTCCTTCCAGGTTAGACAGACAAACCAAGGCAAACCTCCCTATTTTTCACCACACCAATAAGCAGTTTAAGTGGGTGTCTCCCTCCAGAGCTGCAACGCACGGATCAGAGCGTGCATCGCTCTGCACAGAGGGCAAGGAAAGCGGAGAACAAAGCCAGGGGAGAGGAGTGTGAACAGCTTTTGGCTGAAAACTGGAAACCAGCTGCAACTGAAAGGGATGAAAGAAGAAGACACAGGAATGAGGAAGTTGAAAGAATTGAGTAAAAGAATCGAAACTTGTTGATGGAGAGCAAGGAGAAGGCAGAAGCACCAGGTTGAATAAAGACATCAGCCACTTCAGGCATAAAGTTACACCATCTAGGCTGAGGGGAGAAGAATGAGAATTAGCGTTATTCCAGCAGAAGTAGGAACTAGTTCTGGAA